TTTTCGTTGTGCTGACTTTTTCGTACTGCGTACTAGCTAGCATGACAGAGTTTGTATATGGCTGAGTGGGTGCTATGATGATGTTGAACTTTATTTTTTTCATAAGGTTAATTATGATGATGCCAACCATCTCCTAAAAAATGGAATCGTCTCGTATTTAGAGAAATACGAGAAGATAGTGTGCTATGTGTGCTATGTAAAAGCACACATAGTTGTGTGCTTTTACATAGCACACAACTATGTAAAAGTTTGTCCCGTTCTTCAGCTAGAATGGAAAAGAAACAAAGCTGGAGTTTTTCTGTGTCTTTGCTGCACAGCTGCCTGTTCTTCTCTCATTCTCTCCCCCTCCCTCTCCTGTTTCTACTTCAATCATGAAACTGATCATTGATCAGCTGATTGGCTTTTCTCTCTTGTTTGTTTATCGCCCACTTTGCAGCAGAAAGAAGAAACCAGCGGATGTCGCGCTAAACAACAGCAGCACGTTTAAGCTTGATCAGCTGTTGTTAGAATTTATTTAATATTAATTTCTAGTATCAGCTGATGTTTGCTGGAGCCACAGCTGCAAAAGCTGCTGGTCATGATATCGGTTTGGTTATCTAGTGAGAGGGAAACATGAAGATGAAACCAGGGGATTTAACCCATACACCCAGTGGGCAGTGGGCAGCCACCAATGCAGCGCCCGGGGAGCAGTGTGTAGGGACGGTACCTTGCTCAGGGGTACCTCAGGGTAGCCATTCAGTGGAGTCGAACCCCCGACCTTCCGATCATGGGGCCACCACTCTACCTACTGAGCTATCCCTGAAGGGACGTTATGAACTGTTTCTGAGAGACAAATAAGACCAGGATCCTTTTCTAAGGTTTTCTAAGATTTTGCCAGAGGGGCCCGGTAGGGCATTAACAGGGATTGGTGGGCAAAAAGATATACTTTTCATTCTTATTCTCATTTAAAATGTCTCGCTTTTAAAAAATAATTATCTGAATCTTACAACAAACGATTGATAGATTGATGCATATATACCATCAAAACAGTGTACATCACTGTCACAATAGCGTTTGTTTTCATTCAAAGGCTTCATGAGTTTTCCTATAATGGCGAGCCGGTCTCTAGTCAAAATGCCCGGGCCAATTTTTTGTCCCAGTCCAGCCCTGTATGCAGCTCATCTGCAGTCTGGAATGTGGTGGCAGATTTCTTTTCTCATATATTAATTACATATTTAATTATATCACATTAGTTATAGTAATATCACTTTCTCACTTTACCATACTACTTTACATGCATGTGGAAAGTTAACACAGTGAGGCCATTGTAATGGGAGACATTAAACAGATAGTGAGGCTCCTTCTGCTTATCAGGGATGTAAATCCTTAGGTGAAGGCTAAGCAGAAAACAAGGTCATAATTCTCTCTGTGCGGGAGGATGTATAGCCCCCCCGTGAGAGGGGCCAACATGTAAGAGTTTGAGGAATGTTCTTTGTCTGTGTCTCTGTATATAAGATGTAAGGGCGGTGGCCACAATTCAGAGATGGTCCTGGTGTTTCACTGGGATGCTCTCTCCACATTGCAATGCGTTTATTAAACCCACTTCAATCAAGCTCACTGGGTGTGTTGCAGGTTATTTGTAACATTTCCATATCAGGTATTACCTACATCTTCCTATTTGGTAGGCAGAATTTCCGAGTTCCGAGTACAATCGAAAGCCACACAACTGCAGTTTTCGTGTTGGATGTAAAAAGCGCACATGACACTGTGACATAGGCTAGAATCATGGCGGCGGTCAACGTCGGTCCAGGTGTGGGATTCCTCTCGTGGAAATATGCACATTATTTTTTCCTTTCTATTGGTAGGTGGCACAGTGCACTTGTGGCAAGTAAGCAAGCTAGAAGACTGGCAAAGTTATGGAAGCAACACATTAACAAGAGAATTCTGAGTAAAACCAAAGTTACTTTCGCTAGTAACTAGTTACTTTGAAAGTAACGAGTAACTTGAAGTAACTGAGTTACTTTTGATAGAAGTAACTAATAATGTAACTAAGATACTAATTTAAAGTAACTTACCCAACACTGGAAGTCATTGCCTTCACCTGTCCTGTGCTTCCTGTTTTATTTTGATAAGTGCAGCATATCTAGTTTTGCTTCCCTTTGTATCATTATGTCTAATTAGTCCCAGCTGTGTTTCCCATTTCCTCGTTACTCCCTTGTGTATTTAAGCCCTGTGTTTTCCTTTGCCCTTTGTTGTATTATACCACCGTCGTATTGTAAGTCTCTCTATGTTTCTAGTTTCCCAGTGTTTGGTTCCTAGTTTTCATATTCAGGATTTTAAGATAAGATAAGATAAGATAAGATAAGATTAGATAAAACTTTATTCATCCCTCGGGTGGGTTCCTCTGGGAAATTTGTTTTCCAAAAAAGCACAGCACCGACAGAAGTTACAGAGTTAAGAATATTATAAATATATATATATACACACACACACATATATAAATACAAAGACATATATAGATAAAATATACAAAGGGGATAAATAGAATAAATAGGAATAAAAATAAAAATAAAAATACAAGTGAATTGCACATTCGAGTATGGAGTCTATTGCACCGCTGATTATTAACAAAAAGTATTGCACAAAAGGTGATTGCACAGTGAAGTGGAGAGGCACTACAGCTTAGTTGTTCCCCCCTCCTTTGTCCTCCTGTTTCCCCTCCCTCTCCCCTCCAGAGAGGAGTTAAACAGTTTGATGGCGTGAGGGACAAAGGAGTTTTTAAGTCTGTTGGTTCTTGTCTTTGGGAGAAGCAACCTGTCACTGAACAGACTCTTCTGGTTGTTTATGGACAGGTTGCTTCACGCACCCCTTTTAGGTTGTTTTTTGTGAGTTTATGTCTACAGAAGATTCTCCCAGCAATAAAACTGCTGCTTTTTGTTCACTTTTTTCTGCAGGTCAGGTTATCCTCATTTGTTTCACCTGCTCTTTGCACTCTGACTCATCTCCACTGCTGATTGGCTGCTGGAGGATCACCTGCACTTGTTTAAAGCCAGAGAAAGCAGAGCATGGTGATGGGCTCTCTAATTCACTCCACTTGTTTTTCTGCTTGTTTCAGTCTTCTCTATCAACTATTAGCCGAGCTGGGAGTTACCTGCAGTCTTGTTTTCTGTTTCGGTTCATTGACCTTGCCAATATTGGTTTAAGGCAGAAGCCAGAAACCAATGGCCATCTGGGCAGCTGGTTCCCAGGGTCCTTCCTCTATTGTTTGCTTATAACAGGCTGACATGTGTTCATTCTTTGTAATCCATCTTGTATTATTAAAAGCTTAAAATTAAAATCTTGAACAGAGGCAGTGTGCGACATGAATTTTAATCATTCTTATTGTTCTATCATTTTGGTTGTTAGCTTTTCAGTTATTTTTTGTTTGTAAAAGAAAAAGTGATTGTTGGATCTTGTATGACCTCTTTCATGTTGTTTCTTATTAATTAATTTTAACTTCACTATGAATCTAGATTATTCTACTTTTTAGTAACTTCATATGCCAAATGAATTAACTAAATGAATTAAATGAATTAATAATATTAACAATAAAAGCACAAAAATATAACTGATAGAATTCAGGACACTAAAAATGACATTTAAAAACAAAGGACAAATAATACACAATTTTTTGTGGCAATGTAACATTTTACTAATTTATGGAAAAAATATTAGTTTTGTGCCATGTATTTATTATTTTGTCACTGTCAGTCTGTTAAGAAAAAGCTATATAAGTATAAAAAATGGCAAAGAAATAATTAAGAGAGGTTTATTAAGGGCCTCAGGTACAAAGTTAGCTCAGTGTTACTGGGGTCTGACGTTTTAATGCAGAACAGTGATGTCTTACAATGTTGGGTCCTGCTCTGATGCACTCCGCATTCTTGTGGCAGCCTCCATTGTTGATCAGACAGCCGTCAATCTCTGCAAAGAAACCAAAGGATGGACACAAGCATTTATTACATCCACTTGCTTTTTTCTGAGATATGCAAAAAACATGCTGAATGTGGACCGATGAATTGAAAACTTAGTTTTTTTTGTTTTCACTTCATCAGTCCCCCCCCCCCCAAAAGGTACAAAAAATAGCAGGGAAGTGATAAAATACAGGTGAACTGTTTTCCACTTGATCAAAAAATGATATAAAACCTTCCACTCAAAAAATACATAAACTGAATAATAAGTAAGGGGTGTCTGAAATAGGAGATATAGGTCTAATTCAAAGTCAGAAAGAAGAGTCTGTAGGCAAAAATGTACAGAATCCCAGGCATTTCAATGACTCCTCAACAAATAGAAAATACACAAAGTGAAATAAAACAGGAACCTTTAGAACAAACTCAATATGTTGTTTTCACACCTACAGTTTGTTTACTCTGGTCCAAATTAGTTGTAAATTTGTAAATCTGTAGCTTTTTCCTGTGGTTTGGTTGCTTTTCATGAAGAGAAAACTCCAAGCAAACCAAAATACATCACTACAAACCAGCTGAGACAACCCGATGTATCACGGCAAAGTGTAAAATACACACACCCACAGTGTGTGTATTCAGTTGCAGTACCAGCAGAGCCAGATATTATATTTAACCCCCTAAGACCAGAACTTCATGGTTTGCATTTTTAATTTCTCTTTGCTATTTGGGTTGATTGGGCAAAATTTATGTGGTCTAGACAACCCAAATTGTGATGTCCACATATGACCCTGTCACGCTCACACATGCATACACACACACATGCAGTGTTTTAACCTTTTGTGACCATAGGGGGGTTTTTCAATGGGTGTTTGTGTAAACTGTGTGTCACAGAATAAAAAGGCTGCAAGCGGGGGTTGGGGTCGTTTGGGGTTGTTTGAGACCGAGGACAGAGTGCTGCTGTTCCCCTTGCTATAGCATGTGAAAATCGATCGATCACTGTTCTGTCTTGCTTTCTGAAGTAGCGGGCCTGCTGAGGTGCAGAACCAACACGGTGTACTAAACATGAGTAATCAATGTACTATGTCCGTATGTATGGAAGGTGTCGCTCTGACACCCTGAACCATTTTTGTGCACGCTTTGAAACAGAAGACTGGCAGCAGAGAAACGATCTACCTTTCCGAGCTAGAGGAGCAGTAATAGCCTCTTCAGGTGAGCTCTACACTGAGGAAAACCAACACCAGCAACGCTGCAAGACTGGACATTCAGATCAGATTGTGAAGTGTGAAATTTGCTGACCAATCTGTAGTTTCTCCAGGGGGGTTTCAGACAGTTTCAACCTGTCACATCAGGTTGCTGTCTGCCCCAAATCTTTCATTATTGCCTCTGTGTCTAAAAAGTCAGCTGCCACCTGCGATGTGATTACTGCACTGTTGCACTGACCTCAGTAATTATACAGCACTTCAAGGACATCATCCCTGCTGGTATTGAGAGCCATCAGGTCACCTATACAGGGAACCAATGCACAGAGGATACAGTCTCAATAGCTCATCACACAGCCTGGCGTCACCTGCAACTGAAGTCAACGATGCAATTCGTTGACTTCAATTCTGACTTTAATACGGTAATCCTGGATAAACTACCACTGAAGCTTCACAACATGGTGTTGTCCACTTCGATGTGCTCCTGAATCAAGGACTTTCTCACCGGTAGGCCTCAGGTGGTGAGAATAAGGGACTGTACATCATCCACTGTGTGCTCAGCCCAGCTCTGACTGTAGTGTCATTCACTGTTCAAATACCTTTGTGAAGTTTGCAGACGACACCACCATAGAGGGTCTCATGTTAGATAATGAGACTGTCTACAGAGAGGAGCCCCTGTACCTGCCATTACTGTGTTTACTTCTGCAGCAACGATCGAAACCAGGTGTGAAAATGAACCCGAGTTCAATTTAAACGGACTAAACAGCAAAGGTTTGAAAGCACGGCAGAAGAGTGAGAGCTGACACAGTGGAGAATCCAAGATGACAAGACAAAGACAGGCTGTAAAAATATCATTAATGCTACATCCTAGGAAAAGGAAATAACAACACTTAACAGGAAGTGAAAATGAGAGTCATGGAAACATAACAGGAAAATGTGAATGAAAGAAGCCACAAAAATAACTTGTCAGGAACCCAGGACTGTGATACAGCTGTTTACTGATGCAGTTTTTAGCCGTGCTGTATTTTTTGACCTGTTTCTTGTCTTTGATCTTTTTCCTGGAGTCAGTGTTTGAGAACATGGATTGACATGTGATGAATTTACTGAGATTTTCTTTGTTCTGGTGGTTGATTTTGTCATCGTTGTTTGAAATAAATAAATAGTGTAATCGTATAGGAAAACTGTAACAACTTAGACCTTGCCTATGCTTGTATTGCATCATGTGTGCAAAGGCAATTACATGAAATAGTTAAATCTATTATCCATTATATAGTTGTATTTTTAACTCTAAATGTGTGTACTACCCACAGATTTTCCTTTTTAAAAACATATACAGATAAAACCTTCACTACTAGCCAGTACTGACTACACATTGGCCAAAAAACAGAGGAAAAAAGTTTAGGACCTTTATTGATTCTTCTTCTGTCTGAAATCATTACTTGAAGGCGACTTCAGCATTTCCAATAATGTCTAAGAACTTTGATCTACAAAACCTCTTGGTCTTGGTGGATTTATAGAGCTCCAGGTTAGGGTTTAGGACCACATACCGAGGCAGATGACCCCATCTCCAGTGTACCCCTGTTTACAGGTACAGGTCCTCATTCCCGCTGCCACTTTAGTACAAACGGCAAACTCTGAGCATCCGCCGTTAGACCGGCTGCACAAATCCAGCTCTGAGAGACAGAAAGAGAAAGATGAGGAGAGCGTAATCACACTAAAAGACAGGTATAATGATGCTGTGTGTGTGTGCGCGTGTGTGTGTGTGTGTGTGTGTGTGTGTGGTTGCCTTTGCAGTAGGTTCCATTTCCTTCATATCCAGCCGTGCACACGCAGACGGCAGCTGTTCCCTGTGGCCCTGTTATGCAGCTGCAGCAGAAAAACAAATGGCTCAATATGTGTTTCACATTTTTACTGAAGCTGAGAGCTGTGACTAATAATTTCTATCATTACAAATCATATTTGGGAACAGCGCCCTGCATTACTGTTTATATTCTGTAGTTTTCTTCGCATCATTGATCCTATTACCAGCACAGAATTGAATTTCTAGCCTAACACATATCTCACTGCCGTGGTGCTCCACTGTTGTCAAAAAAGGATTAAAAACACTCAGTGAGCTACTGTTACAACGGACCACATGTCCTTTCATTACTATGAACACACGATGAAAACACTATAGACTCAATCTCACAGACTAGCCCCATCAAACAAACTTACAAAAACCCATCCATCATATAATAAAAGCACATCTCTACAGATTTTTTTAAACACGTTTTTAACATTTAGGGCAATCCAATAATGAAGTGTCTGTGTATTTTAATGCTAAATATCTGCAAGGTGGTCATTATCTTATGCCTGATCTGTGTATGTTTATGTAGCCCTTCAAGCAGAGCCTTTCTGATTTTATCTTGTCCAGTTCTGAAGCATGACATCTTATTATTTTAAAATCAGATATCACCAATGACGGATGTATTTGACTGATAAACCAAGGGCCCGATACACCCAAAGAGATTTATGGTCTGTTTTACTTTACCCAGAGCCTTCATTCAGAGGGTCGCCCCCTCCTGGCCATTAGAAAGAATGCATGTTTAAGGGACTTCTACAAGGTGCCTTAAACCAGTGGTCCCAAACCCACGGGCCACTGGTCTGTGAGTCGTTTGGTACCAGGATGCGAGAGTTGAAGCTCAGGTGTATAACTTATGGTTTTCAGGGTTTTTTATCAGTTTTTATCGTTATTTTTTTTAAATCGTTTTTATCATAAACTCTGTTTCCCTGAGTCTTTCTTTACGGATAAATCTTTTTTTTTTTTGGTACCGGTACTGGTTTTATTTTGTTGTATTTATCTCCAACACCTTAAAGGCCAGTCCGTGAAAATTTTGTTGGACATAAACCGGTCCATGGCGCAAAAAAGGTTTGGGACCGCTGCCTGTATCAAATTACAGATCTAGACCATCCTTTGCCCTCCTGTATCCCCTGCTGCATTTGGCAAACAGGAAGCTCCGGTAAATCTCTGCCTTCATCCAGCCACTTCAGTCAGCAGTGAAATCATCAATAAATGTAATTTCATCTTCACTGGCAGCAATGAGAAAACCTCCAGCATTTTTGGAAAAAAGAGGTGCTGCTTTGGGTCATGAGCATTTCTTTTCACTGCTTCCATAGCAGAGCTTTTGTGGACTGCAGCTTGGCCTGCCTGTTTTTGTGTCAAGGTCACAGAGTGCCTCAGGTGTATTCCTCATGTGTCTGGCAGCCCGGCCCTCCTCTCACTCCCCCGGAGCCCTGATGGCTGATCAGCCTGCACACCTGCTATCCATCAGCTCATCAACTCTGCAGCATATCAAGCCTGGTTCTTCATCACTCATCACCAGGTTGTTATTTCAGCCGGTGCTTGATGAAAGTGCTTCACCATCATGAACCCTGGGCATTTGACTCTTGTGTTGATTTTGATAGTCGAACTAATCTGCTACCCATCTCATGTGCCTGCCAGCCAAACCAGACATGATCTCACCCCCTGCCTTTATCTCCACTCAGCACTAGTTCCCCACCCACCAGCTTCCCTCAACCCTCCCCTGCTGTAATCCTCCTCCACCTCCACTCCCTGACTGCAAACAATAAACTCTTTCTTATTCCTTCTACCTTCGATTCTCACTGTTGATCCTAAAGTCAGGAATGCACACAGGTATGTGTCGGCAATCTCACCCAGATTAAAAAACAAAAATCACACTGGCAGCAGAAAGTACCATCTGTACAGACGTGGCGCATATTTTTAGTGACGGAGAACAGAGAGCTGCTTCCAAAATACGCTGTGATACATCTGTCAGGATGTGGGCGCAGAAGGGACCCTAATGCAGGACAAAGTTAAACAAAGATTAAAAACGCATTTACTGGCTGATGCACAGTCCAGAAATAAACAAAGTCTGCAAAAAGGGAACCAAAACCACAAAGCAGAAATCTAAACACTGAGATCTTGGAAAACAGGAGCAACATAAGCAGCACAACAGGAGCATTAGCAAACAATTTGGCAAAGTCAAAGTTAAACACTGGACTATGCAGAATATATACCTTAGGGACTAAATGTGGATCAGAAACAGGAGGGGAAGGAAATGAAAGTAAAAGCAATTGAAAAAACTTGTAAACAGTGGACTAACTAACTTAATAACAGACAGCGAAGCACCAAAGACTCAAATCATAACTAAGCTAAGAACTAGAATAGGAACTGATGCTTAAAATAACTACGGAGTAATAACAAAATCAAAACAGGTACGCAAACTTCAACCAATACTGATCAAAGCTCTAAAACTCAAAAGCTGCAAATAAAAACCCACACAAATATAACAGCATCTGATCGACTCAGTAGTATGTTCTTGAGTAGTATGTTCATGTACTACTTCACTCAGTAGTATGTTCATGAGGGAACATTTCCTGGTTGAAACATGAGGATTTTCCTGGAAAACTCTCTTTCATGGTTGACAAATAACGGGGAGTGAGGGGGTTGTTTTATTGCCACAGAACATATAAAAAACTGATGTAGCTACCGTGGTGTCACCCACAGGTTTGTGAAGTCCTGTTTTGAAGCTTTGACATGAGATCTTGGCATTTGGAAACCAGATATTGCAACAAGGGGTTGATCTGACTCTGAAACGACACACTCACTAACTAATTTTGATTTTTTTAGTTTTGATTCTAATTATGCAAACTGCAGAATTCTTACCCTTTCACTCCACTCATTTATTACCTCAACTCAGGGTCCGTTATGTTTTTCTTTTTACATTCTTCTTTGTTAGATGGCATCATTTGATATTTTTCTGACATCTCTTATCATTTCTATGCTGATGACATTCAGCTGTGTATGTCTTTACTGCCCCCAACAGTTGACTTTGAATACACTGTCCACCTTATGTGACTGCTTACCACAGATAAGTGAGAAGACTTATGCATGACTATCGTTCCTCCAGAATCACTCAGACTCTTGTTTGTTTTTGCTCATCTGCTGAGTCTGTGTTTGTAGTCTTGGTGTAATATTTTATCATTTGACTCACATGAAAAATGTATTTCACATTTCTATTTCTTTCTTTTAAGGAACAACTCCAAACTTCGATCTAACTCAGCTGAACTGGAGAAAATTTTTCATGCATTTGTGTCATCATGCCGAGATTACTGTATTGCCCTCTTTATCGTCTTAGACAAATCATCTCTTTCACACCTTCAAGAGAAACAAAATGCTGCTGCCAGACTCATAACTCCTAAAAGTGGTAAGTGAGCTCATATTTCTCCGGTTTTGTACTCTTCACATGAGCTCATTTGGTTTTAGAACATCATTAAAAATACTAAATAGGTTCGGCTGACTCTGTGAAAGCTTAGAATGACCAGATTTTACAAAATCAATGAAATTTTTTATTCAACATCACTTGAAACCACTACTTAGCTCATAAACTTGCCTGGAAAGAGTTTTCAGAAGAGGGATCAGAGGGCAGTTTTCCCATAGATTTCTACAGTACTGCAAGTCTTTTGGCAGCCACAGATATCACCCCCTGGTGCCCATGAAAAATAATGCTGTTTTCCAGCAATTGCAATTTGGATTCATGTTTTACACCTGGAAGATACGTCTGTCTTTTATTCTGCCCATAGCTATTGCTTTGCAGTCATAAAATGGATGTTGTCCGCCTTCCAGCCTCAGAGACCTCTCCAGCAAGACCTCTTAAGGGATGTAGAGTAAAGAGTAAAAAGCGAGTAGCTCTGAAAAACTGCCAAGGTTCAATGCTGATTGGTTAAACTCAGAACAAACCTCATTTTCTTAAAACCAACAACCTAGCAAAGGCAAGATAAAGAAAAGCAGACCACCAGTGTCTTAAACACCAACATCAACCAGCAACGTTCATTTACCATCATGCCTGGCCCAAGCAGAGAAAAGGCAGCTAATAATATTATAATACAATAATAATAATAATAATAATAATAATAATATCACTAATTTCCCACAGCTTTCTCACATGGAGCCTGCAGAAAGGACATCCCACAGACTTTAAAGTGCAGAGCTGGCAGGTTAAAGGCTATATGCATCTGCAAATATGCCTATAATGGATATTAACCCCCTTTTGGACCATGTTATCAAAACCTGACTATTAATGAGGTGTGCAGAATTAAAATTTAAGCCTAACTGTACTGGGTAGCACTGAGTTCAAAAAGAATATTATGGTCAGTAAATATAATATTTGTTGTTTTTTGTGCTTGTGCTGTTACCATCATGAAACACAGCAACTGAGGACACATTGACTTACTTGGCGTTTTCGTCACACACACCTCCACAGGCGTCATCTTTGATCTCTGAGACACATAACACACACACACAGGTTTCAGGTGATGACAGGTCACAGAAAATATGCGTGGTTAAAATTTAATTGTTTCTTTGTATAGACGTCTTACCTAGAGAGCAGGAGGCTCCTTTCCAGCCTTTATAACACACACACCTGCCACTTCCTGTCAGACCATCCTCACACTTCCCGTTGGCACAATTACACTCTGCAACACACACAGTATAACTCACAACTCCCTCCTTGACTTTATTTAGTTAATGAAGTGTTAGTCACAGGTCTGTTAGCTTTATGAGATTATTTTTGCTTTGCTAATAACAGATTTATTAGCAAACTTGAAGCTGGTCTTCTCTGTCCTTGCTGCCTGATCAAAGCATCAAACCCCTGCAGCTACTCCTGCAGTATGGATAAGTTTTTCAAGCAAAAATACCATTTGATTTTCAGTTGTGGCAAACCTGTCACCTACTAGCTTTGCCTGGTGAATGTCTTGATGCATGCTCAATCATCCAGCGAAGGAAATCACAAAAAGTTGTTTCTGTTCATCAGGACGTCACGTTTTCAGTGGGAGAAACTTTTTTCACTTGTGTTTCAGTCACTGAAGCAGTGGAGGTAGTTCATAAGAGGTTACAGGATGCACGATCTGATATTGTCGTGTTGGTGTTGTTCCCAGATCATCATACTAAATGTTGTTCCAGGATCAACATTGCAAGTGACCAATCAGAATGTTGTGACGTCATACTTTTGCGACTTCGGGAAAAACCGCTGTAAAACAAAAAACTGTACTTAAGCTGTGAGAAACCGCCTCTGTCCGCCGATCAACGGACCCTAACCCTAACCCTTTAATAAACGGTAAGCAGAATTAATATTGTCCTTGCAACATTGGAATTTCATATATGCAGGAATGGCTTGGCGCGCAAAAGAATAACATTACAACAATGCGATTGGTCACTTGCAATGTTAAACCTGGAACAACATTTTCATGATGATCTGGGAACAACACCAACACGACGATATCAGATCATCCTTACAGGATGACCCCAACCTCAGCAACAGGACCACTCTCAGCACCAACCAAGTGTGTTTGCTTTTGGAACTGTGTCTTCATTCCACATATTTCACATACAAAGGTCAGTGCTACAGGCAGAAACATGGGTGTGCCATGGGTTCCCCAGTTTCACTCATTGTGGCTAATTTGTACATGGAAGAAGTGGAAAAGAGGGCTTTGCTATCCTACCCTGGAACACCACCAAGTCATTGGTTCAGGTATGTGGATGACACCTGGTTTGAAAATCAAATCTCAGGACGTACCACAATTCACGGATCACAGTATATCGGTGGACCAACACATCAAATTCACTCGGGAAGATATGAAAAATGAGACTGTGAGATTTCCATCAGTAAGTCTATTAGGAGACATTTAAAGTTAACGTGTACTGTAAACCTATGCATATGGATCAGTATTTAAGGTTTGGCTCTCATCATTGATTGGAGCACAAACTTGGTGTCATCGGGATGCAACACAGAGCAAACACCATCTCCACAGACAGCACGGCTGGAAACAGAAGAATATCACATCAAGAAGGCCCTGAATAAATGTGGTTATCTCAGCTGGACATTTATCAAAGCTGGGAAGGCGCTTAAAGAAAGCTCCAACCGATTCAGGAGAGAAGGACAACTGCTGCATAAGCAAAAACCTGTAGTGATCCCTTATGTGTCTGGAGTATCGGAACAGTTGAGATGCTTTTTTTTTTTTTAAACGCTGTGTCTTTGTGGCTTTTAAACCCCAAAATATGCTGCGCCAAAAATCCCCAAGGATCAGCTCCCCCGACACAAACAGAGTAATATAGTGTACACTGTTAAGTGCCAGGAGGATTGCCATAATATATACATCAGGGAAACCAAACAGCCTCTGGCTGAACGGATTGCACAACACAGAAGAGCTACTGTACCTCGTCCGGCCAGGACTCCACAGTCTATTTACACCTGCCGGCCAGTGGACAGTCTTACAGTGACACATCTTGGACAGGGAGGAACGCTGGTTTGAGCGCGGAGTCAAAGAGGCCATTTACTTGAAGGTAAGGGAAAGACCATCTCTGAATCGAGGAGGGCGTCAAAGGGTACATCTTTCACCATCTTACAATGCTGTGATTGCAGCCATTCCCCAACTCTCTGTGAATGGTACTCATGGCCATTGATCAACTGTTGTTGATCAGTGATCAATAATCAATGGTCATGATAATTTGCATATTAATGATCAAGAAACCGGCCTCACTAGCCCATTGTTTATCAGTGGTGCTTGTTTTGAGCAACGAGTTTATGCTGTTTAAAGGCAGTTGGCAAACAGCTTATAGGTGTCGTACTGCCAATTTCTATATTTTTTAAGTTACATCATTGTAGTCCAAAGTGTTGCATAAATAACGACTTCGCCATGATTATGTCAATTAGAAATTACTGTAGTCAGATGTAACAGGACTCAAACCTTGCAAAAAGTTTCACTTTTGTCTCATCACTCCACAGAATATTTTCCCAAGAGTCCTAGGGATCATCAAAATGTTTATTTGGCAACAATCCTTTATGTTCTTTTTGGCCAGCAGTGCATTTTTCCTTGGAGCTCTCCCCTTGATGCCATTTGTCTAGATTGGCGCAAAGATGAAGGTGCTCAGGGCAGAGCTGTTTACTCCTCCACATTGAAAGGAGCCAGTCGAGGTGGTTCAGGTATTTAACTAGGATGCCTCCTTGATGGCTACTAGCGGAGGTCTTTGGTGGTGGTCCAACCTGGAGGAGACCCCCGGGGCAGACAGAGGGCATGCTGGAGATGTCTCACAGCTCATGTCAGTGTTTGCACAGGAGTGGGTGAGGGAGATCTAAGATGGATGGATCCTTTGTTGTTTTCACAGGGCTGTTAGTATTATAGATTTTTTTTAGCTGTGTAAGACTGCGTCTCAGAAGCTCAGTTTTTGTTATAATCAGAAGCTGGGGACTAGGAATGCCGTTAGCACTTGAATGATTTTATAAACAGCCCATAAATTATGATGCAGAAAGTCCAGCAAACATAGTTAAACAGCATTGATTTTGACATGTCGAGTCTTGTTTGTCTCTTCTCCACATCTACAGTCAATACACCTAAATATTTATTTAGCTGTTTTTTCACCGTCACCGGGTAACGCCCCCTTGTGACAAATATAAAATATGGCAGACAGGAAATGCTTCACTCTGTGTGTGTGTGTGTGTGTGTGTCTGTGTGTGTGTCTTTGTGTGTGCGTGTGTCTGCATGTTGCTCACTGGAGGAGCAGTTAACTCCGTATCTCCCCGGCTCACAGTCCTCACACGCAGTTCCATGGAAACCCTCGTAGCACTGGCACTCGCCATTGCCATGGTTACCATCATGACACTCCCCGTGATTGGAGCACCAGCTGCCGACGTCTCCGGGGCATTTGAAGCACTCGTGGCCATAGTAACCGGGGCAACAGGAGTGATCCTGCAGGGCAGACAAATCCATGACATCATCATTATTATTATGATTATGATGATTATTATTATTATTATTATTATTGAATTTAAAAAATGTACACAATGTTGCGTTTGTGTCAGTGATGACGGGTGTTTCTAGCTGATTATTATGCATTTATCAGGTTTCATCAGACCCTTATGAAAAGAGCCATAATGTTTATGGAAATAAGTTTGAGCAGACCATAGTGGTCCGGAGACATTTGATGACACAGCCGGGCACAGACTTCCTCCTGGATCCGACCCGCTTCCTGTACCTACAGTTGGGTTGCATGTTGGCTGGAAACTGTTTTTTGATCTGCAGCATAAAAATTACACCAACATCAGGAATCATCAACATAAACAGGCAGAGGTGAAATGCTGAAAAACACTAAACAAAAAAACCCGATGACTTTAAGAACACCGACACGCGTCATACAATTACAACCCTGCTCCCTTTCAGGCCCCTTTTGTAAAGTCTGAATGCGTTAATTTTGGGGTCATTTTTAAAGCTGTTAAAATTACTTTTGGAAAAGCTTGAGTTTCAGTTATTATGTCCACCCCAAGAACTATAACAGTTTTCTTACTGGTTTCTGAAAGAAAATGCATCGGGGTGGTCCATCACAGTCTGTACATCTTCCCTGGAGACAGAAAGGAGAACAGAGAGGCTAGAGTAACTCTGACAAACAAACACCCATCTATCCCATCCCTTCTCTCTATCCTTACCTCGACCTGCAGGTAGGTCATTTTATTGCATCTGTTGCGGTGGACTTTGAGGACCTGAGGGAGCGTTATGATGACTCCATTCTGGGTTACTGTGACGCTCCCGTCAAGAGGAATGTCATTCACAACTGTCTGGAGTTCAAGAGAAGACGAAACACACCAATTTTTTTTTACAATGAATCTTTCACACAAAACAAAAATAACAATCATCTTAGCTTAGGGAGTCAGTCGACAGTGGTTCTTTGATCTGCTTCTGCACTACAGGAAATACTGTTGTTGAGCAGGAGTTCAAAGTCAGTGCAATCCATCACTGAATTTTTACTTGTCAATTAAAAGGTCAGCAGATTCTGAAGGAAAACTCCGCCATACTGTCTATTTTATTCTAAATTTGATCGTAATTTAGAGAATGAAAATAATGCTGCACTAAATTTGACTTAAAACTAACACCTGAGACCAAAAACTAATGAGGAAAACACTTACTAACTGAACAGATCAAAAAAGCAGCAGGTACATTTTCCCACAGAACTCAATGCAATTGGACTTAGTTTTGCAACCAAGCGATGCCCTCTGATGCCCTCTCTAGCGAGAATGTCCATTTTTATGGTGAATATGTTCTATTTTCCATTCTATTATATTTCCATTTTCCAATTTTCACAAATTTCAACATCAGCAGAGTCTTTCTCCCTGTGGTTACGGAGCCACTCATTCCCTGCTGCCTTTTCTTCCTTTGTTTACGTTTTAGCATTCACTAATTGTGCTCCACATGACAGGAGAAGCCAACAGTGGATGGAAATTACCAGTGAGGTTACATCAATAATGGTAGAAAAATGGGGCTTTATATGGAGCTGGATAAAAAGCTCAACACAACAACCCAGGCAGAAAATTATTTCAGTTTTTATTACGTGACATTATTGTGCAGCTCCTGGCAAATTACAAGGTTACATTACCTTAGTTGTCGTTAAACTAAAGTATAAAATCATTTTAAACTTTTACTGAGAACTTCTGGAAAAAATACGAGCTAGACTACTTTTGTCCTTACACTTGGTTTATTGTGTTACTACCACTGCAGTGTCATGCTGCTGTTTCTACAAATTAAGAAGTCTCTTAAAATACTCTTATAAATCCTGCTGCCTGGAAGCTGCAGGTATTAAGAAGATCTTACTCAGTATTTCTTCTATGTTGTCAGAAATATCATTATCGTAAATTTTCCTTGAATATAATGATATAATTGTGAGGCTGTATGACCCACCCCTAGTTGCATGGCTGTTAAGCTGGTGTCAGTGCAGTTATTGTTACCTGGTTGTTGTTGTCCAAGTGGAACTGGACCTGGTACTCAGTTCCAAGCAGAGTGCTTTTCAGTGTGCCATCAGGCAAGCGGTCAGGGAAGAGCAGCTCATTAAGAATCACATGGTACTTGAACACATCAGAGTCCTGGACAGATGGAAGACAGAGGATTTATTTATAGCCAAAGACAAGAGTTGCAGTGGATCATCTCACCAGCAGGAAGAGAAAATAGGAGTGGACATGATGGTCAACTACAAAAAGAAATTGTTAATGCGACAAACATTTCACTTTATACACAAATTAGAGTTTTGTTATAAACAGTATCTAAGTATCTAAGATAAGCTCTTAGTAGCCCATCTTTAAGATACTGTAGTTCAAACACAGCAGACCAACATAAAAACATCCTGTGCCAAATTAATACATAGCCTGGTTTATAGACATCAATTCTCTTTCAGATATTTCCTTCCTCTCCTGACAGGGAGATGTCTGACACAAAAAGGTGATTCATTATTTTGGTCAGTACAAACAAACCACCTTAGTACCATTTTTTGCTGGGAATGCTCACTTCATTTTGCGTTATATGAAACAGCTCAGTTATTATTTGACGTGGATGTTTGTAATGTGTGTCAGTCTAAATTTCACCACTTTATTCGTTTAGGTTGCACAATCCACATGTTGTGATGCCAATAAATGTTTTCACATAGTTCACATACGTGAATAATATTAAAGGTACTTTTTGTAATTTCCCTCTGCAGATTTAGGGTTAATGTTCACCACCAGGAGTTGCTGTTTTACCAGTGGATGCATTGAAATATTTTTGCACGTATGCTGCCATTTAATTTGTAATATTTCTTTTTTCACCCTTCCTCAGTTTCTCAAGAAGGTTTGCCTTTTTTTGTAAATAAGAAATTAAATAATAGTTATACTGACCCACTGTATCAGTTAGTGGCTTTTGTGCAACTCTTGTTACACAAATATACAGCCCAGATGTTTCTCAGCTGATATTCTAACATCTAAGGATCGTTACATAAATGTTTTTGGACTTAAACTAAGAGTGGTTGTTCCTTCACATTTTGTTAATAGATCTAGCTCATTTCTGAATTATTTGAGTTATTTTTAAAAATGGGAAATGTATAAATACTTTAAAGGTTGTATAAAAAAACCTTTAAAGTATCCATTTTCTTGACAAGTGTTTGGAGGTTTTGCAGAATAGCAGCTGTCCACTGAATTATATTATTGACCTACCAGGATGGAGGTGTTAGTCCTGCTAAGATGCTGCCTTATAGCCTCATCTGTTGGCAGCAGAAGTGTAAATGACTCAGTAAGATTTGAAGACAGGTTGTACATCTGAGAGAAAACACACAGGAAGTTAATTAAATGTAATAATAATAATAAGAAGAAGAATAAAAAAAAAGATTAAAAATAAAAAAGGATTACATCTTATCACATGATGCTGAGATCAGACAGACTTACCAGAACATACTCTCTGAAAAGCGTGAAGTTGGAAGAGGAGTTTAGGAAAGCCATAAGTGTGGGAGGCTCAGGTGGGAGGTCTGAGAGAGGCGGAGCCAGAATCTGACAACAGACAGACAGAGAGAAAGGTACTCTGTATGTGTAGATGGAGAGAGAGTAAACTAATATGCTAATAATGTTGTTTATTGACATCATTATTTGCTCTGCATGAAAAAATCTGTATTTATTTCTTTTCATTTCACTGTAAAGATTCACATGTACCTTGTCTATGACATGGAGATAGCCATTGATCGCAGGTAGGTTGGGGGTGAGGATGGATGCTTTTCCAATTTGGATGACCTGAAACACACACACACACACACACACACACA